CCCTCCCACCAGCTCATTCCCACTAAATCCATTTGGTAATTGGCTCTGCGGCTGCACCCCAATAAAACCACAGCAGCGGAAGGCTGCATCACCGAGTCATTGGCCACACCCATAGCAGGACGGAAGATTTACAGCCTGCGCAACATGTCGTCTGCTTCACGCTGGACGGCTGAACGGTGTCTGAGGCAGGACCTGACTGCTGCTGCTTAGCATGCCCACCGGTGTCGGACCATTACATCAGCAGTAATTTGTTAGATCATGAGGAGGGTTGCATGCAATCCACTCCAATAAAAATTTATCATCCCTGAGGGACCATCAGGGAGGAAAACAGCATGACTAATGAGGGAACATGGGTGGCTGAATGAATAGAATAAAAGGGATGGGAAAACTCCTGATTGCCCAAAAGCCAACTCATCCCATTTCCTGAGTTTGTACATTAAGGGCTGAATACTCCTGCCCTGTGCTCTCATCTACAAGATGGCAATATTACCCTCTGTTTCACGCAGAGGTGCCCTCTGGTCCTCGCCTTCCTTTCTCCACCTCTGTTCCTTTCACTCTCGACATGCACAGCCCTAGCACTCTATATATCTCTGGCAGCAGTGATGGGAGCTCAGCAGGGACTGCATGACTTATTCAAGCATGTAGCTTCCATACTCTACTGCCACCATTTTTGTTTTACTTCACTCTGCTGCATCCACAGACAGCAGGAGAAAGCGGCTCAGCGTCACGTGCGCTTGTACCACGTGTCCGGCGAACCAGCATGTATGTCTCCCTTCCCCCTTTACCTCCACATCATACTGAGTATTATAGCAGCAAATGAACACATGCTCTGCATGCTAATTGCATGCTGTTCCTACTATGCGGACATCCATGGGCACCACATGTTACAGCACCTATATAGCAGATTCACAGTGTGCTGTGCTGCTCTGCTTGTATGCTGCATACCAGCACCAAATTATTAACGCAAGAATCATCTCTGTGGCTGCACAAGAAACCTGAAAACTGGACAACATCCACGCACACACGCTGGGACGTAAACCACGAGCATACAGCTCAGCATGTGTAGGTATTATGTTCAAACACTCAACAATGATTTTCACTTTCTGTGTTTGGACACTAATCAGGCTCAAATATTTCTCCTCACAAGCTGCATGCCGCAGGCAATCAGCTTCAAACAGCAGGTGCACACACGCACACACGTACACGCAAACACACACACACACATTATAACGAACACAAGGGCGCTAATACACACGAAAAGTACAAAGAGAAAACACACTTGGGAAAATATACATAGACTGTATATATAAACATGCACATGGAGGGGATCCAGTTCACACATCCCTACATATCACAAACACACACACACAGGTATCGTATATACAAATCAAAAATCCACACTCACAACCTGTGGTGCATACACAACATAACACTTTCAGCTTCTGCGCCCTCATTGACCTGTTGCTGTTTGGATAAGCAGGTAACATGCAGGGTGAAAGAGCTGCAACGACTAATCCCGCCAATATTAAATTAACTAGCAACTACTTTGATAATTGATTAATTGGTTTGAGTAAACTGAATTTCTTTGGGTTGTGGATGAAACCAGTCATTTAAGGAAGTCATCTTGGTCGTTAGGAAACATGGACCAAACAACTAACTGATTGGCTGAGAAATAATTAACAGATTAATTGACTTAAAAATAAATAAATCCCTACTTGCAGCCCTGCTTTCAACTTCTATACTCTCACTGACTTGTTTAGGTGCAATGTGAAGCGAGCTAGTTTCTGGTGACATTAGAAGAAGCTATCTGTCTTTCTAATTTAAATGTGCAGCTAAGAAGTTAAATAGAACAGCAAAACAAAGGGTGAGTTATAACAGAGTCAATTGCAGCAATGTGTACAAAACCCTAATTGAATTTTCCTAAAACCTCTTGTTGATTAGGAAAAACCAAACATTTGTCAGTGACCTTAAATTGAAATCACTTGGCGAAACTGCATTTGCTCTGCACTTTTATCAGTCTGATAACTGGAGCCTGCTTTGGATGGACTTAAATCAATTAAGCTTTTAGAGTAATACTGCGGGTGTGTGCATGTGTGTGTGACAGCGAGGGTGTGTCTGATACGGCAGTTAATGTGTCTGTCGAGCTCTCCGCTACTTTACTGATAGCAGCCCGAAATGAGGACTGAGCGAGGTAGGAAAAGGGCAAAATCTAATTAAAGCAGAAATTTATGGCCCTGTCAAAGCGCATCACATATACAAATGCTAACGTGCACTTAACAAAGTATGCCTGCGAGGCTACAGGGTTCTATCGGAGGAGTCTATCATCAGTAATGCCGCTCTCGTGGGGATTCATATGTAGGTCTACTGCAGCGAAATCCTTCTCTGGGCAACACATTCACCGTATAGAACACATTATACCGACTCCCACAATAACAACACAAAACACTGCATCGTATTCTCACTTTAGACGCGCGCTAATAGTCTGACCTGATTACAATAAAAACTTCTGCTCCATCTTTTAGCAAAAGTGCCGACTTAGCTGATTAGCGAAGGTGTCTTTAAGATCAGACTCAAGATGGATATTTAGTAAACTAAAGGTTGTGTAGCTGCTTTTTTGAAGAACAGAATGGACACACATTTATCATGATCTCCATCCTAACCTTGACAGTACTTTTTGCAGATTTTGCTGTGAGATATTTGATGTTATTAAAATGAGCGTGGCTTGATATGCACACTGAGAACTGGGAGAACATAATGAAATGAGTCAGTGCTTAGCAATAAAATCACCAGGACAGTTCACAAAGGGTCACACAGTGAGTGTTACACACACAGTGATTACCAACATGCCCTTGTGTAATTCTTCATAATCAGATGTTTGCATATCAACCATTGTATAAAGCTGTAATCTGAGCGTAAGCTCCACAATCCAGCTGCTACCCGCGGCTCATGAAGAGTGAGGTGGGGGAGGGGATCTGAAACACCTTGGTTGTCAGGTAGAAAAAGGCTCCTGGCGACTTAGTATTGCATTTCATTATTATTATTCTTATTATTATTATATTGTATTATATTACTGGAGCAGGCACATGTTGTTATATTGTCGCCGACTAAATAGATGCGAGAACTGGGGAACGTGCCAAAAGAAAAAAACACTTTTCTCTTTATTACTGTCCTCTACACTGTTCCTGGAGTACATCAGATCTCACAAACACACACTCAAAGAACCCTTCGCAGATTGCTTTATTTCAGAAACAGGGCGTGTCAGACACTAGAGCATTCGGAGACCATGGCATCTGTTATCTCTCACTGTCTTTTCTCCGTTATCAGTTTTTCCAACTGCACAGTCTGCTGTGTAGTTCTGAGAGTGGCTGATGGTAGCGATGCCGAGGGACGTACCCATTACCAGTTACAGTATTATTAGAGTGGTCTGTTTAGTGATTGCCTTAGCCTCTGATGTTAAATTTTAATCAGTTGCAACTACTTTCCATGCAAAGTAAGTGCACGTTTTGATCATGTTACTGTTTAAATGGTGGATAAAAGCAGCTAAAGCTCCATCATTGCAACTAGACAACGGATATTAGCTACGTTTAAAAGCTACTCCACCTTATTTAATACTGTCAAAGAACATCCTGCCACTTACAGAGTTTTCATGCTTGTCATGCCGCCCTGGTAGTCCAGTTTCAAATTGCATATGTGGCCTTTTTTTGTTGTTATCTCTCAGTTTAAAATGTTCCCACACAGCTGAGGTCTTTGGCATTTTGTCTTCCCTTTAGCTGCCAAGGTGAACTGAAGCATGATGTTCACTGCTGAGGTGAAAATATGTGCACTTTTTACCAGTGTAGCTAAAAAGTAAACATATATCTAAAGAAAACAAGAACAACTTGCCTTTATTGACTGCCTACTTTTGGCAAAAACAACAATAAACCAATACCTACACCGTAAACAAATATCTGCATAGCTGAATATTGGGGTTTAGTTCTGCTTCCTGGGAATACTTGCGCCGTGTGGCTGTTCGCCCAGAATTTATTTAACATCTTTGCTCCGAATCTTCTGATCTCTTTAGTGCTGTGTCTCAGACATACCAACTCGGTGACATAACAGTAAGAAGAAGGCGGCCATTGCTTTAACAAACAAACAAACAAACGGACAGAGAGATGAGCTATTCATGGAGCAGCTAGACTCCCAAAGGCTCCGTCTGATTATGATCATCACAGCCTCAGACAAAGGCCTCCTTCACCCTCCTCTCCTGGTCTATCTCCAAATCACCTCAGGATCCAGCACTATGCACACAGTGTGACTCAGGTGAGAAACACATGCTGATTTCACACAGACAGACGCGAGACATGCTGCCGTACAGAAACGCAAACAAGCGCTCACTTTGGAGAAGCGAAAACATTGAGAGCACTCTGTTGTTTTTCAGCTAATTCATCCAACTGCACCTCCTCCCCTCTCGAAAGCCCTCCCAAAACTTGTTTTATTAATAATGCTGTATAATGCTTGCTCTGATATCACCCTGCTAGGCATTCCTCTAAGGCTTGTTCTGACATTGGCTGGTTGCTGGCCTACTTATGCCCGGCTCCTCGAACCCGCTATGTGGGAGATCATTGTCCCTCATTCCTCCAGGGTGTTCTTTCTTAAACAGCGTCTTCTTTGAACCTGCAGCCAAGTGAAGCCTTTTGAACTAACTGCTTTGCACTTGGCACTGAAGAGCTTTATAATGCTCAACTTATTCTCTCATCTATTCGGTCATTTGTTCGGATTTGCTGCTGTTCTGGAGCAAATTTGCTGATTTGCTAGCAAATCAATGGAAAGGCTATTTCATAAAAGGAGCTCGCTTAGAACATTTCTGCCTGGAGGATGTTTGAGAAAAGCAGCAATTATAGGCAGCAGCCTGCGCTATCTACAAACACACAGAAAACCATCTCAGTGTGTGCTTGTACATGTACACAGGCGCACACTCCAGCCTGGGTGAGGCTTCAATTCCACTCAAATGTCACACCTACCTGGTTGTCTTGGAAACTGCGGGCTTATCAGGTTTGGGTGAGGCAACAGAGCTAGGCTTGGTGGATGTTGCAGAAGCAGGTTTTGGAGCTGGAGGACAGTGGAGGAGAGCAGAGGTGAGAGAGGAAAGTTAAGCAAACGTGAAATGCAATATATACGCTGGATTATAGCAGTACTGTATACAGTATATAGTGGCACATTTCCCAGATATAGGTCAGGGAGGACATACTTCCTACTGTGTGTCTGTGTGTCATAGGGATTTAGGGCAAATGCATTTATAGTTTAGCAGCAGCCACTCTGGCATGTCTAATATGTGTGCTGAATCCATCCTATGAGCATCATCTGTGTGTCATCACATTACAATGAACACTCCTTATTAGAGATGGAGCTGTGAAAATGTTCCATGTTAGGCTCACTGTGGGTGTCCTTTGCCCAGATAGTGTACCTACAGAATTATACTTATGTTTGCACACTGATGTCAACTTTCAGTTTCGCAATGACATTTCCCACCAACCTGGGGGCTTTTTAGCAGCAGCTGCAGTGGTGTTGGATTTGACACCATTCGCAGTTGTGGATGGTGTCTTTTTGGCTGCTGTTCCGGTCGTTGACTTTGCACTGTTGGTATTAGGGCCAGTCCCTGCGGCTTTCTTCTCACCCACTTTGGTAGTGGTCTTGGAGGCTGGGGCCCCAGCCGTCCCTGTTGGTTTTTTGGATGGAGCTGAGGTCGGGGTGCTCTTTTTGTCTGCAGCAGGTGTAGTCTTCTTCGCCACACCGTTGGTCTGAGGTTTTGACACGCCATTTGAGAGGCGGCTCTGGGATGTGTTGGGCCGTGAGCCAGATGTAGTCTTGGTTGGGTTAGTGGCGCTGGGCTTTGTCTTGGCTGGCGCCTTGTTGGTAGTCTTGGCTTTGGACTCTCCTGAGGTCTTGTTGCTGGTCTTGGCAGCTGCGGTTTCCTTGGCCTGGTCTGGCTGAGGTTCGGCCTGACCTGTCTCTCCTGTCGGCTGCTGTGGCATCTCCCCCTCCACTGGACTGGCTGCCTGGTTGGGCTCCTGTCCTGCGGCCGGTGCTGCCTCATTTACTGGATTGGAGTCCAATGTTTCCATTGGCTCCATTGCTGCTATGGCAACCCCATCCGGCTTCATCTCCCCTTAAATGGTAGTGGTCCGTCTCTGCGTGGCAGGGCTGGCTGACTTAAATCTCACAGGATGGCCACAACTCTAGAGGCTTTCTGGAGACAGCAAAGGATGGTCTGGAAGGAGAGAGAAAAGACAGAACAAGACAGTCAGTCAACAGCAAGACCAGACATGAAAAGCACTTCTCGGTGTATCAGTAAGCAGAGACACAGGAATGCAGGTTGCCCTAAGAATCAGATAAAGCATAATCTTCAGTCTTTTAACAGCTTTAGCATCAAACAGAGAGAAATATTTTTAGGATGCAGAAAAAAAATCCAGACCAGAATACTGCATGAACCTCAGAGAGGACTGAACCTTGTATAGGACAATATAACACACTGAGTAAGACGTTTGTCCACAAACACAAGCACCTGTGCAAAAATGCAACACAGCTTTATGAGTCTTGCTCACAAAGGATCAATTAGATGACATTTTATGATCAGTTGAATGTGTGTGATGTCTCAGGGGATACAGACGAGTCAGACAAGGACAACATGTCCACTGCAAAAACAACAAATCCTACAAATAGCCTTCATTAATTTCAATGCCAACTGCATTGCAGTTGCAAATGGTCCCCTCTGTGACACTAAAAAGCTCAGTGACACACTTGGCCAGCGTAGCTGCTGTGGCTTGGTTTTTTTCTTTGTACAAAATAGCATCAGAGTCACCAGTGTGGAAGACTAGTTTTCTAGGATAGTACACTTAAGGGAGTGCTAAAAGGTTTAGCACGCAAGTTCCACACACACACAAATGCAAATGCCACCTGTAATAATGTTAAGATGCTCAACTTTGTAATGGATGAGAAAAGTCAACAGAGCCTGCATCCCACTACGAGGCTGGAGTGGTTATAAAAAGAGAAGTAGCATGAGGTGGGGAGGGAGGATCAGACTAACTGGGTCAAGGCACGTACAATAAACCCAAAAAGCCCAAAGACAGAGAGACAGTTTGACTGAGGGGTCACAAACAGAGCAGAGACATGAGCATCTGATCTAACATGAAGCATATGAGGCCTGACAAAAGGCAACCATCTGTAATACTGGAGGTCATACCCTGTCACCACCAATATTAGACATCTTATTTTGTTTCCTCAGCTACCTTATTATCCAAGGAAAAGGAGGTCATTTACAAGACCATACAGGATCTTTACAAGTCAGAGAGCAGCAGAGAGGGAAGTGGGGGAGTAGCAGGAAACCAGCCTGTCAAAGTTTACAAACAGAGCGAGGAGCCGACTGTGCAGGAGTCTAAGTGGTGAGACAAACACTGAGGCAACGCAGAGGCCAGCCCAGAGGAAGAGGCTTGGCCTGTGGAGCATGGGAACAGAAAGAGAAGGTGGGAGAGAGCGAGCGAAGAGACAGGAGGAAAAAAAAAGACACAAAATGAGCTCACTATTGGCTGATCTGACTGTTTGCTGGTCTGACTTTAAATCCAGACATCACTAGTCATCCTAGTTTCCACTGACCTAAACTTGTAGGCGCACACTCATTCTCCTATTTCTAGAAGAGGACAGACATCATCTTTATGCTGCTGGTTTCCTGGAAACAATTCCCGCATACACTTCTCCATCTTTCTTTCCCTCTTCGGTCATCCTCTACTCATCCTCTAAACTAAATTTCACTTGTCAAAAGGCCTTCTTTCTTTCCTTCTCTACTGATCCTCCCTTTCTTCCAGCCATTTTCCCCTCTTCGATTTCCTTCCTCCCCCACTGCTCCCTCTCTCCTTCCATCCCTCTGTTCTCTGTTTGCCTTTGCACAGATGGCCGGAGCAGCTGAGCAGAGCCAGAGGGGGAAAAAAAAGAGAGACTAAGAAAAATGATCCATGTATCTCAAACAACATATTAGAACAGATACCAATGCAACAGGCCACTACCCAACACAACTTAGGAGGCTAAAGGCCAAAATAGACTGTGGCCGAATGGTGCACATTAAAACAGCTGCCCCTATTATTTTGTCTGCACAACCTGCACACTGGTGGCGGCCAGGCGTGCGCTGGCGGTTAGTGGCGCCAATTTGCACCACTGTGCCATTTCCAGTCTCGCCACCGCTAAAAAACTTGTTTTTTTTTCACCACTGCTTCCTGCTTCTGCATCCCAGTTCCCACAGCCAAGCTCCCTGTCCTCACCTACTGAAGTTAACTCCCAAGGTGCACATCAGCAAAAAAACATCCAATCACAGAGCTGAAAATTGGCAGGTGATCGACTGAAGACTTGTGGGTGATGTAGTATTTAGATCTATAGTGAAGTACGTCATTAAAAACGACTTCTCAGACATGAAGTCATTATCTAACTGAGTGTTTCTGTATTAAGAGACCAGAACGATGTAATTTAAAGAAAAATATAAAACGTGGATATAGAGAAACACTTCAGGAACCGGTGCCTCCTTTCCTTTAACGACTCCTAAATCCCTCAAGTATAAACTCATCAAACTCTGCCCACTTGATACTCAGTAATCTTCAATAAAACCACACCGCTGTTTGACTCAGACGTGGTATTGCTATTAAATCTGTGACCTAATTCGACCACAAAGTGAACCAGGAAATAAGACCGTGTCCAATAGCAACTCCTTCGCCCCTCCTCTCTCTTTCAGACTCTGGTGTTCGGTTTATGTTTGGCTCCTGCTCTTCCCACAGTAAACTAAAGCATCTGGCCCGGCTGTTCGTTTCACTGCTGCTCTCCGGAGGTCCCTACAGCGCCGGTGTGAGCGCGAGTGTTAGTGAAAGTGGTAAATCCTGATTGCATGTCCAATTCCAGATTCTCTTTCTCCTGCAAGGCTCGAGGCAGCTGCGAGATTGCACTTATTCTCTGGCTCTATGGCTCATCCACCCAGGCCTGCGTCATCAGTACCATCAGTCAGCGGGGAGCATAAACAGGCTGGAAACCAGGGCGGGAACAGACGTTTTTTAATTTATTTTCAGCTGAAACTGAAGGCAAAAGGGACGAAAGCCACATTAGAACAACTCAGACTACTTTAGAAGCCAAACAAACCAAACTAAACTTTATTTTGCTGCCAAAATTAACTTCCTGTGCTAAGTTCCACCTTTAATATTTCAGCCTGTTTACAAACGTACTGACTACAGTATGTAATATACTTGTTTAACTTGTCAAAAGATGGCTCATTTCAACATCTTTCCTCCATCCTGCACTCCTGCGGTTAAGTTGTCTGACTATCATAATAAATACGACAATCACTCATCAGCTACAGTGCGTATGTTCCCATATGTAGGGCTTTAGGCTGATAAACCAATGATTCTATGGAACAGAATCCTCTTGAATGTGTTGCAACAGCTACTTACATTATCTAAAATTTCATCCCTAATTACTGTGGCACTCCCAACTGAAACATCTCCATCCCACTAATGCCATTACAGGTTTTCATTAAACCTAATTAGATTGAAGGCAGTTATTCACTTTCAAACTGAGCGAGCTGTTGCTATGCGGGCACATTTGGAAGGATGAGCATCATAGATAAGCCTATCCGGAGCGATGTGCTTGATTATAACTGCAATAATGTCACAAAGCACTGCAACACATGACTTCAAAGAACCAGCAATAAAAGTTGATTTGTTTTCCATTCCAATAATTACTTTTTGACTCGGTCTATCTATGGAAAATCTTGCTCTTCCCTTCCTACTCCACGCTTCACATTTCATACAATGACACATCTGGACCATTAGAGCTTTTTTGAGGCACAACTCTTGTTTTCTCTAAGCAGCTTCGCTAAAGCAACAAGGGATTAAACGTTTTCTGGTTCACTGGCACTTTCACTATAGCTGCTGAAGGTGGTTTTACATTCAGGGGGTTTACAATGAGATTACATTGCTTTGTGTTACACAAAGCTACATTGGGCTACATTACATTTTTTTCGCCGGAAACTGTTTCATTAATTCCTAAGCTAATACCTTATATCTGTAATCTAGCAGTTTAATATGAGTAAATCTAATATTCAGGAATAACGTGTGGCTATGGCTCCACTTTTCCTAGGTATCATTTAACCTATATCCAACCATCTCAACACTTAGGCTACTCTCCAAGACGCAAGTAAAAACCCAGATTGGCTGAGGGAAATCCTCTCTGCAGTCTAGGATGTAACACACAAGCTGGCATTTTCCACCCATAAGGGAAAGAGTGTACTCAATGACCTGAGACATAATGTTGTTTGATTCGAGACAGATGGCTTTGCCAGCCACACTAGGTCCATTTCAAAACATGTTTGGGAAATGTTTTGGGCACAAAATGGTTTAACCTGAACAGAGTTTTCTGGTTAAAGTACCTCTGAACAAGCAGCTGCACAAAATCAGCTGTCCTCACCTCCTGTGGCCTCGGTGGCTCACACATGCACACAAAGGATTTGTAGCAGAATAACGACTTCCTCAACAAAGCGTTCAGTAGGCTGTAGCTGGTATCCTCCAGTCCTAATTTCATAACTGTGAGACAAATCTTAGTTGAAGGTTAACTTTTCATGACAAAAGGAGGTCTCACGCTAAATAAAAAGTAATTTATACAAATAAAAACTATGATTAAATGTGACATATCTTGCGTACAAGAATAAAAACTAACCATTAATGTGAAATATGCACACTGCTCTACCCAAAATACCTCCTGTCTTGTTCTAATTTTGATTTGGCTGCTTGACTTGTTGCACTATTATAAATAGAAAGCATCTTGTGTTCAGTAAAATTGTGTCTCTGTCAATAACACAGTCTGAGTCCACAATACATGGAGAATTAGACCGGAAACCAACAGAGCAGCTGGGACACACTACAAAAGTACACACACAAAGATAAGCTAATGCAATGCCAAGGGCGGTGGATGTAATACTGACGTTACCTTCAGGACGCCATCTTTGGTATTGTTTTTAAAAGGAAGACGTTAATGTTGGCAATCAGCCACTTAAAACTTCCTCAAAAGGTTCACAGATGAAATACTACCTTTTACCTCTCATGCTACACCCAGACGGGAAACAGTGCTTTAGTGAAGAAGTGAGTAAATCCAGCTTCAGCATGATCACCTGCTCTGCAGTGAACGGCACAAGCAGCCATCTGTGGTGACGCTAGGTGACAGCCAGGGAGTGACTATATTCAA